CACCTCTTCTTAATATATTCTGTTTCTGTTAGGTCCATACCATTTCTGTCCTTTATTGTGCTCATCTTTGCATGAAATGTTCCCTTGGGATCTCCAATATTCTTGAAGAGATCTCTAGTCTTTTCCATTCTATTTATTTCCTCTATTTCTTTGCATTGATCGCTGAGGAAGGCTTTCTTATCTCTCCTTGCGATTCTTTGGAACTTTGCATTCAAATGGGTATATCTTTCCTTTTCTCCTTTGCCTTTAGCTTCTCTTCTTTTCTCAGCTATTTGTAAGGCCGCCTCCAACAGCCATTTTGATTTTTTGCATTTCTTTTTCTTGGGGATAGTCTGTATCACTGCCTCCTGTACAATGCCACAAATCTCAGTCCATAGTTCTTCAGGCATTCTATCAGATCTAATCCCTTGAATCTATTTCTCACCTCCACTGTATAATTGTAAGGGATTTGATTTAGGTCATACCTGAACGGTCTAGTGGTTTTCCCTACTTTCTTCAATTTAAGTCTGAATTTGGCAATAAGGAGTTCATGATCTGAGCCACAGTCAGTTCCCGGTCTTGTTTTTGCTGACTGTATAGAGCTTCTCCATCTTTGGCTGCAAAGAACATAATCAATCTGATTTCAGTATTGACCATTTGGTGACGTCCACGTGTAGAGTCTTCTCTTGTGTTGTTGGAAGAGGGTGTTTGCTATGATCAGTGCATTCTCTTGGCAAAACTCTGTTAATCTTTGACCTGCTTCATTTTGTACTCCATGGTCAAATTTGCCAGTTACTCCAGGTAACTCTTGACTTCCTACTTTTGCATTCCACTCCCCTATAATGAAGAGGATATCTTTTTTTGGGTGTTAGTTCTAGAAGGTCTTATAAGTCTTCATAGAGCCGTTCAACTTCAGCTTCTTCAGCATTACTGGTGAGGGCATAGACTTGGATTACTGTGATATTGAATGGTTTGCCTTGGAAACAAACAGAGATCATTCTGTCATTTTTGAGATTGCATCCAACTACTGCATTTTGGACTCTCTTGACCATGATGGCTACTCCATTTCTTCTAAGGGATTCCTGCCCACAGTAGTGAATATAATGGTCATCTGAGTTAAATTCACCCGTTCCAGTCCATCTTAGTTCACTGATTCCTAGAATGTCGACATTCACTCTTGCCATGTCCTGATTGACTATTTCCGGTTTGCCTTGATTCATGGACCTAACATTCCAGGTTCCTATGCAGTACTGCTCTTTAAAGCATCGGACCTTGCTTCTGTCACCAGTCACATCCACACCTGGGTATTGTTTTTGCTTTGGCTCCATCCCTTCATTCTTTCTGCCCCTATGCTCAGTCCCAATTAACTATGAACTCAGCAATTTGTAGTAACTATTCCATAACTGGATAAAAGAAATGAAGAAAACCCATGTGTTTACACTGAAAGATATGCCGGTATCCAGAAAATGCTGGAATTGGGACACACAGAGGCTATTTTTCTAAACAGTTTTATTGTGAATTAATTCTGGTACCCAAAACACCATTTTAAAATTTATAGGAACTTTCACAATGGTCTCGTGGCTAAGACTCCACACTCCCAAGGTTGGGGGCCCTGGGTTCGATCCCTGGTCAGCAAGCTAGATACCACATGCCACAGCTAAGAGTCTGCAGGCTGCAACAGAGATCAAAGATCCTGCATGCTGAAAGTAAGACTCAGTGTAGCCAAATAAATAAAAATGAAGTGTACAATTCAGAGTCTGAAATATAGTGGCAAGTTTATGAAAGCATCACTATTATCTAATTCCAGAACATTTCACCACTCCCAAAATAAACCCTGTACCCCCAAGCAGTCACCCCAGCCCTCCCTCCTCTCTTTCGTCTCCCATCCTTGGCAACCTCTAATTACCGTCACGTCTGAGTGTGTGCGTGTGCGTGTGTGTGTGTGAGTCCCTCAGTCATGTTCAACTCTTTGTCCATGGAATTCTTCAGGCAAGAACACCATCACTATGGATGTGCCTAATTCTTGACATTTCATATAAACTGAATCATACTGTATGTGGTCTTATGTACCTGATTTCCTTAATATCACTTCAAGGTTTACGTATGCTGTAGCATGTATTAGTACCTCATTATATATTATTGCTGGATAATGCTCCACTTTAGAGATACACCACATTGTATTTATCCATTCATCAACTGATGGGTATTAAGGTTAATTTCATGTTTTGCCTATATGCTGTGACCATCCATATAAAGGTTCCACAGTGAACATCTGTTTTCCATTCCCTTGCATATACACCTAGGAGAGGAGTTCTTGGGTCATATAATAACACTATGTTCAATTTTTTGAGAAACTGCCAAACTGCTTTCCAAAATAGCTGAATCATTGTACATTCCCACCAGTAATACAGGAAGATGTCAATCCTTGCCAGCACTTTGTATTTTTAATTAATTTATTTTTAATATTATTACAGCCATTCTTACAGGTATAAAGTGGTATCTCATTGTGGTTTTGATGTGTTTACCAGACTGTTAATCATACTGAGCATCTCTTCATGTGCTTATTGGTCACTCATATACAATTTCTGGAGATACGTTTATTTAAATTCTTTGCCAATTTTGTCATTTATGATGTATTTCTGAATTATAAGAGTTCTTTATACATTCTAGATAACAATTTATTTACTATATGTATGATTTGAAAATGTTTTCTCCCAATCCATGGTTATCTTTCTATTTTATTTATGGCATCCTTTTCAGCAAAAAAAGCTTTCAATTCTCATGAAGTCCAATCAGTGTATTTTTTTCTTTAGTTATTTGTGCTCTTGGTATCTAAGAAGGTTTTACTTCACTCAAGATCATAACGATTTATGTCTATATTTTCTTCAAAGAGTTTTACTGTTCTAGCCTTGATGCATTTGGAGCCAGTTTTTATATACAGTAAGATATAGGGATCCAACTTATTCTTTGCATGTGGGTATCTAGCTGTCTTAGTGTCATTTATTATAAAGGTTATTATTCCTCCCATTTAATTATCCTGCTATTTCTTCTCTCTCAGAGTAGTATATTTTCATCATTTCTGCATTTTCTTTTTTGCTTTTATATTCTAAACTCCAACACCCCCTAGAGTTTCATCCTTAATCTTTCTCTTTTAAAATTCAGCATTTTTCTTTCCATTAGGAACTTACAGTTTTTTGTTTGTTTTTGTTTTACTATCTGCAGTATAGTTAATCTCTAACTCAGATTTCTTCACTGAGCTCTTACATAGACTTCTCTTGGCTACCTCAAAGTCAAACTCAATCGCAATGGACTTCTGTTCTTCTCTCTGTCTGATCATCTTTCAGTTTATTCTTTCATATATCCATCAATTCAGTCACCCAAGTCACTTCTTCCACATTTGGTCAATCAACAAATCCTGTAAATGTTACTTCCTAAGTATTCCTTCACAACAGTCACCAAGCTGCAAGCTAAAGCTGTTACTCTCTCTGCTGTGTATTCAGTCATATTCAACTAGTTGCGACCCCATGGACTGCAGCCCACCAGACTCCTCTATCCACGGAATTTTTCAGGCAAGAATACTGGAGTGGGCTGCCATTTCCTCCTCCTCCAGAGGATCTTCCTGACTCAGGGATCAGACCCGCCTCTGTCTTGTGTTTCCTGCATTGTCAGGCAGATTCTTTACCACTGTGCTGCCTGGGAACTTGTTACTAGGGCTTTATTTAGGGTTCATCGTCTTTTGATTCTGAAGTATGTTCCTTACTCACAGGTGTATTTCCCTCATATGCATTTCACCAGTATAATATATCAAAGCTGCAAATATTTTTTATTGCCTTAAAGATCCTAGGGGTTTACTCTTAATAATATTTTCAATATATGTCTCTTCTCTGTTCTTTAACTTCCATGTTTTATTCCTAACAGAACACCAGGAGTTTTCTTTGATTTGACTTTACAATTTTTCATATTATTCCTTCTTCCAGAAATGTTCTCTCACTCACCTTACCTCTATGGTCAGCCCTCCATATCTGTGAGTTCTGAATCTGCAGATTCAACCAAATGTGGATGGGAAATATCTGAAAAAGAAATTTTCAAAAGCAAAACTTGAATTTTCTGTGCATTGGCAAATATTTAATAGCATTTACAACTATTTAGATGCCATTTACCTTGTATTAGGTATTATAACTAATCTAGAGATGATTTAAAGTATCCTGGGGGATGTGCATAGGTTATATGCAAATACTATGCCATTAATTATACGGGATTGGAGCATGCCAAGATTTTTGTATCCATGGGTATCCTGGAACCAATACTTCCCATAGTTACTGAGGGGTGACTATAACATCTTTTAATTATTTGAGAATCACCACGGATACTACCTCTTTCTGGCATGTTGTCCTTAATCCATCTGCCACCACAAACTTGGTAAGGCCTCCCTTTTTACTGTTATGGTATATGACAGATTGCCACGATACTGTACTTATAATGTGACTTAGTAATTACATATTTCTGTTCCTCACTACACTATAAGTCTAATAAAAATAAGAAAGGGGCACTCTTACTTTTCTCAGTGCTAAAAAAGGTGCAGATATTGTAAAAATTGTATTTTCATTTACTAAGTCAATCACTAATTTTACCTGTCACCTTAGCAAGTTAAAGACCTAAAATTTTAACTGCTATCAACCCAGCAATTAAAACTCCTAACAAAGATGTCTTATATAGCTCATTGGAAATATGCTTCCAATTTTCATACTTACTGTTTTATTGTTGTTAATGAAAACTATCCAAAGTAATTTCACTAAGGCTGATTATCCTTTTTTTTTTTTTAAAAAAAAGAGAGAAGTAGAAGGCTGATATAACTGTCTTTATTTTATACAAAAATAAAACAAAAACAATAAACATAAGGCATAAAAAAAGATCAAATTACATACTCTAGAAGAACTAGAGTGTTTCTGAGCCAGTTCACGCACACCGAATGCCTTTGATCCACTGAATTAACCACTTTCTTGTTCTTTCTGCTGGTTCTCAACAATGGGAAGTCTGTGCAAGAGCCCCAGAGTGGGACTTCCCCAGGAAGGAAAAGGGACTCAGGGATCTTATCTACCTTATACTTGTTGCCTTGGAAACAACCCTGTGTCCTCCTCTTTGCTAATATCACCAGGTATGTGAGTTACTCTGGGACTAGGTTTATTCTAAGTATCTCTTGGAAAAAGCGATAAATACAATAATAAAACAGTTGCTCTGCTTTCTTTTATCCAAATGCAGGAAATAAATTATAATTCTGCATTTGTCAATTATAATGGAATTCACCAGAATACTGAGCCCTCAATGAATCTCTATATAAACTAAGTCTTTTGTGATGAGAATAGCAATGCTTTAATGTATAAACTTTACATTGTTTTTAAAAACAGTATTTTCATATTTTGCACTATATTTACAAATCAATCTCCCCTGCTGAACAGATCCATTTACTGTATCAGTTAAATCCCACCTAACTTTCAAAAATCAATGACATATCTTATTTCCTTTTGCTACCCACATTTGGCTATCTCTTTGAATTTCTTAACACAGATAGATTTAAGACGCAATTTAGTCTCTCTTCGATGACAATCTCTCATTATAGAACCACTATTAAACCAAGATTTCTAAGACATAATTTTTCCATGCTCGCGCTATGTAATATTGGACATATGGTTTTCAAAGCATCCACTCATCCAACATTATATTTAACTCAAAATATAATTAATGAGAATTCTGCTTCCAGGCATGAAGGGATAATTGGTATAAGACCTGTCCTCCTCCTACAAACAAATATAATATTTGAAAAAAATAAAATGACTATTTTAAGCACCAAGAAATAGGAAAAGCAAGATCATAGAAAGTAAGCCCATGCTCACACCAGATTTCTCAAGAGGAACATTTTAACTACTATAGCACAGGAGGGTGGGGAACAAGAGAAACAATAGTCTTACTGAGCCAAGGAGGCAGAGTTTTGATCAGCTTAAGTACTTAGGCTTTGTGGGAAATAGCATCAGAGAAGAAGCGGCTTTGCTAAAGTCTCTAGAATACTAGATGGGGATTTACTCTGGATCCTTGGCCAAGGACTGGGCTTTATAAATGCAGACCAGACTCTGAAAGGTCAAGTTCTGCTATCTTGCATTTGCAGTGTGTATGGAATACAGACACTCGAGTTCCTAACTACTGTGAGATACTGGAATCCTCATCCAGTCAAACTGGCAAGCCCTAAGAGCACTTTACAAACACACCAAACATTCAGTTGAAATTCCAGAATTTTGGAGTAGGAGTCATACCTTGGTATAAAAGATGTGTCTTAGAACTAATGACAAAACTGATAGCATTTAATCATAAAAATCTGACAGTACTGTATCTTTACACCAGTAACTTAACTGTTTAGAGAGAAAAATTCAACATCTGTTAATTTAACATCCATTAAAGGAAGATGACACAATCTGGAATCTCTGCAGTGTGTTCAGCACAATGCCAAGCACACAACTGAATTACTGGATACATCAAGAAACATGAAAATGCACTCACATTAAAAAATACCAGTAATTAGTGAAACAAAACCCCAAAACAAAACAGATTTTGAAATTAATAGACAAGGACGAGAGAGAAATTTGGAGTATAAAAAAGAAACAAATGAAAATCCTAGAACTGAAAATATATGATATAAAAATACAAGCTTTTTAAAAAATGTTTAATACTGAAAAATAAAGGATTAGTAAACTTGAAGACACATAAATACAAATAATCCTAACTGAAGGAGAAAGAGAATAATTGAAGAAATGTCTGAAAAAGTGTTTAGTGAATTATGACATATCAAGTTGTTTACTAAACATATTTGGAGTTTCAGAGAGCTGAAAGATTAGGGCACATGACTTATATTTAAAAAATGACCAAAATGCTAAATGTGTTTAAAAAACATACCTTTACATTTTCAAGAAGTTCTGCCAAACTTTTGCAGGATAAATCCAAAGAGAATGACACTCAGATATGCCATACTCAAACTGCTGAAATGAAAAGAAAAAGAGAAAATCTTAAACAGGAGCATCATATTCAAAGTAATCTCAATATTCATGACATATTCTCAACAGAAACAATAGGGTGGAGAAGACAGTGGAACAGTATCTATAAAATGTGAAACTGTCAACCTAGACTTTCATATTCAGTAAAAATAGCCTTAAAAATTGAGGGGAAAAAAAGACATCTTCAATTTAATAAACCTTGAAGAATTCTTAAAAGAAAATCTGCTCTATCGCACGTAATAAAACACTTTGGTAAGGCTGAAGAAAAATAACATCATATGAAAATGCAAATTAATAGGAAAGAATGAGTTCAATTACTAGCACATATTTAGGTGAATACTAAAGGCTATAGTTTCTCTTAGTTTTTAAGGAAAAAATAAAAACCAGTAACATTATATTTTGTGGCTTGATTATGTAAAACTAAGATATGGCAACAATGACACAAAAGACAGAGATGGTAGAATAATTATACTAATGGAATGATTTTTGTTCTGCTATAGGAAGCTGTAAAACATTAATTTTAAGTAGAATATAAAAAAATATGAATGCATAATGTTTACTAAGGTAACCAGAAAACAAAGTGCAAATACATACATCAGGTATTCCTAAGTATAGAAACAGAACAAAGATATAAAAGAAAGATTAATTCAAAAGGAGGCAAGCATGAAAGAACAGGGGAACAATAATTTAGATGTGAGAAACAGACAGCAAATAGTAAAATAGTAGACATGAACTATATTAACAATTAAAATTTAATGAAAAGAGCATCAGTTAAAGATAAGAAAATATCAGGTCAGATAAATATGCAATTAAAGGTTGCACAATTTTTTTAAAATATAAAGACAAAGAAATATAAAAACAAAGAAATAAAAATCTTTGCATAAGTAAACTTGTGTGATTAAAATCATAATAGAAAAAACATGTTTCATGACAATACACTATTACTAGATATAAAGAGGTACAGTTCAAACTGATAAAAAGTTGAAACATTAGAAAAATGTTCTAATTTTAACTCTGTATGTGCTTACAAACAAAATTTTTAAACAAAAGAAGAAAAGAGACTCAATGGAGAAAAAATAACTAAAGATACAGATAGATATTTCAAGAAATTGTTCCAATAATCTATAATACACAAAACATCAGTTAGAATATACAATATTTGCTGAATATAATTGACTAATCTTACCTAATTAACACTTATAGAAGAACACTTCACCCAAAGTACAGAAAACATATTTTTCTAAGTGCACATGCAATATTAACTATGGCAGATAATGTGCCAGGCTGCAACATAATTCTCTATTCAATAAAAAAAAAGAGAAAGAACTGAAACTTTGAGAACATATACTATGATAAAACATAAATAAAGTATCAATGTCAAAATTTCCAGATATTTTAAGTAACCAATGAAGGAAAGAAAACAAGAAATAACAGAAAAGTTGGAAAAGATTTTAAATCCAATGAAAATGAAAACTACAATATATCAATAGTTATAACACAATGAAAGCAGTGTAACTCAATAGATATGATAGCATGCTTCCACAAAACGACTTGTATAAAAACATGTATAGCAGTTCTATTAATATTAGATAAGATCTGTAAACAGTTCAGATATATATCATCACAATAATGGATGGAAATTCGAACTTTATACATATAATTTTAAAAATAAATAAATCACGGTTCAGTTCAGTTCAGTCTTTCAGTGGTGTCTGACTGTTTGAGACCTCATGGACTACAGCACACTAGGCTTCCCTGTCTGTCACCAACTCCTGGAGCTTACACAAACTCATGTCCACTGAGTTGGTGACGCCATCTAACCATCTCATCCTCTGTCGTCCCCCTCTCCTCCCACCTTAAATCTTTCCCAGCATCAGGGTCCTTTCCAATGAGTCGGTTCTTTGCATCAGGTGGCCAAAGTACTAGAGTTTCAGCTTCAGCATCAGTCCTTCCATTGAATATTCAGGACTGATTTCATTTAGGATTGATTAGTTTGATCTCCTTGCTGTCCAAGGGACTCTCAAAAGTTTTCTCAAACACCACAGTTCAAAAGCATCGATTCTTCGGTGCTCAGCTTTCTTTATGGTCCAACTCTCACACACCACTGAGCACAATTGAGAGTTAAGCACTCTCATCTCTCCCATCAGAAGATGAATACAGTCTCCATAGGGTGCTTAAATCAACTCCTTTATTTCTTACCCCGATAAAAGGCCTCCCATGACCCCAACCAAGCCTCTGTCGGGTTCAGAGTGTTCAACTCTGCTTCTGAGGTGTGCACCTCAGGTAATGAGAACAGCCTCTGTCGGACTGTAGGTCAAAGGTGAGCACGGCAGGAGTCGGGTGAAAGGGACCACGACATGTCTANCCTGATGCTGGGAAAGATTGAGGGCAGGAGGAGAAGGGGATGACAGAGGATGAGATGGTTGGATGGCATCACCAATTCAATGGACATGGGTTTGGGTAAACTCCCACAGTTGGTGATGGACAGGGAGGCCTGGTGTGCTGTGGTTGCAGAGTTGGACATGACTGAGCGACTGAACTGAACTGAACTGATTAATAGTGTCCTAGTCAATTTTGCTAGTCAATTATTGATTATCTGAATATTTCAGAGGAGCTTCATTGAATGTAAATATGAAATTACTAAGCAATTGTATACATTTTCTGAGAGAAAGCAAATTTTACTTTTGAATGGTTCTAATCAAGCTTTTGAAGTTATAGCTTAGGACTTTCTTCCAAGAAGGTTCTGTGACTCTCTCCTTTTATTTCTCTAAGAACTTCATTCGTTCTCTCCCACATAGTGCTGGTATACATCTGGGGCCAATGAAATGTTAGAAAGTAATGGTAAGTCATCTCTTTTTCCTGTATCTCAGTTAACCCTTGGGATGATGCACCCTGGCTAAAAACTCAAACGCAAACTAACGAAAAACCATAAGCAGAATTTAGCAGAAATCATCACTTGAACTGCTTTCACATTCCTTACCAACAAAAACTGACTCTTGTTTTATGTTGCTACACTTTAAAGTAATTTGTTATAATCCAAGAGATTATCCAATATATAATATCAATCTGAGATATGACCTGATGTGTGTTTACATTTTTTAATATTATAACTTATTTTGGGTACAGAATTTAACCTACTACTTGCTAAATTCTATTGAATTTTTAGCATTTTAGAACTGCAAAACACTTTTAAAATTCATTTGATAACTTTTAATAGGGATACAATATATTCTTTAACAAGAAATATTAACTTCCACAGAGATGTAATTCCACAGAATGCATTTATATTTACAAAGTGCTTTTTAAGAATAGGAATTCATCTAATCTCACTATAATTCTGTGAAGTACATATTTTTAACTCCAATATACAGATATAAAAGCTGAGCTCAGGAATTTATATAGGTTATCCACAATCATACAGTTTAGAAGAATCAGCACTTGGATTAGAACTCAATTTGTCTTATTATAGAGACAGGGAATTGGGAAACTCGTAAATAGCCCAAAGTCACTAACGGTCATGGAGAATGTGAACTCAGGTTTTCTCATTTCCAATTTTGTAAAAATTTTAATTAAAAATAACTTTCCTTATACTTCTTCCATAAGCAGATTAATTTTTTCTTGATCTTCACTACTGATTAAAATACAGCACTGTGTAAACCAAGCATACATCTTAGGATCTTTACTCACATTTTGATGCTTATTAGTCAAATTAATGCCATTCAAACACATCAAATGCCACATAACAGAGTCTGCTACAGTACAGCATTGGTTATAAACAACCAATATACAAGTTTTTTAACTTATTAAGCTCTCATATTTAAATTATCATTGCCCTTAAAGATGTTCATGGTCTTCCCCGGTGTCTCAGTGGTAAGGAATCTGACTGTGATGCAGGAGACGCAGGAGAAGTGGGTTCGATCCCTGGGTTGGGAAGATCCCCTGAAGAAGGAAATGGCAACCTGCTCCAGTATTCTTGCCTGTGAGATCCCATGGACAGAGGAGCCTGGCAGCCTACAGTCCATGGGGCCACAAAGAGTCAGACACGACTGAGCACGCATGCACGTGAAGATGTCCATACAGTGTTTTCCCCATTCTCTGTGGAGGTAGACCGGAAGGACTCTCGGCAATAGGAGATGGAAGGCAAACTGCAATTTCAACCATGCCTGGCACATGCTCTGGTTCCTTAATGGATTCAATTCTATCCATCCTTTTGAAAAAACTGATCCAATGATGTCTGGGTAGTAGCTCTTATTTTCTCATAAGACTTGACACAGTAGCATTGTGCTGCCATCTTTGTGTACCATTCTATATTTGGGTCCTGTGCCACAAAATATAACAGTGCCTCCTCAAATAAAGAAACCCCCCATGTCATTCCCTGCATTGTGAATCCCTTCAGGTTTTCAGTAATTCTTCTTGTCTCTCTTCATCCATTCTCTGGGCCTCCAGTTTCCATCAGGTCTTCATTTGTAAGCTCTTCATGTTGTGCAGCAAGTTCAATGAAGCGGTCCTCTTGCAGATCTAGCCCTGCTTCTTGCTGAGGATCATTAAGTTACTGAAGACCTTTTTGGACTCCTCATCCATCTTGTCAAACCCATGAAAATCATGAACAAACTACGAGCAGATTCTCCCAAACCCATTCATGGCAATGGCTGTAAATTCACACCAAGCAAACTTGATGTTTTCATGGAATTGTAGATGTTATAGTTCTTCCAAAACTGTTGCAAGGTTGTCTCTGATTTATCACTCACCTTTACTCCCTGACAAAAAGTGTGACATAAATAACATGTCTTGAAAGTCACTAAACATAACCCCCTGGTCCATAGGTTAGATGAGCAATGTAGTATTTGGTAGCAGATGCATTATTTTGATGTTGGGATGAAGGTTGTCCATGAATAGGGTGTGTCTCAGAGCACTGCTGAGCAGCAAAATATGTTGAATGGGTTGTCCTTCCCTCAAACAATACTTCCCTACCTCCAAGATAAAGTGGTGGAAATGCTATTCCTGAAAGCAGCCTGTGTAACCCAGAGCCCCTGGCTACACTTTTAGGGATTCTTGGGTTCTCTGAACGATAAACTAAGTGAGGTTTCAGCTTAGTATTCCCAGAAACATTGCCACCAAACAAGAGAGTTAGCCTATCCTTCGATGTTATATAGTGTGGCATCAACATTTCCTCCTTACTGATAAAAGTGTGGTCTGGCATCCTCTTCAGTACAGTCCTGCCTCATCCACATTAAAAACCTGCTTGGGTAAATACATGCCTCCATCAATAATTTCTCAAAGCATTTCAGGAAACTCCCAGGCAGCACCTGTATCTGTGCTCACTTCCTCACCACTTAAATTTCATGTTGTGGAGATTGGCTCTAGCCTTGATCTGATGAAGCCAGCAATGGCTGGAATTAAAAGATGCTCCCTCTGATTCTTTGCCATGTATCTTCTTCAAGTTTTCATAAAGGCTCTTAGCTTTCTCTTGAATCAGCATTAAGCAGAGTGGGACTCAATGCTGATGCTAATCCTGCATCTACACACTGAGGAGTTTCTCCATCTTCTCTATCACTTTTCCACGTGTCTTCCACGCTATTGTCGAAAACACTGGCACAGAAAACTTCACATATTCCGTGTTCTTTAGAATCATGCGGAAGATTGATTCAATCATGTTATAAGTAAGAGTGCCATCTACCATCTTTTCACCTCGCTTCACTCTCTCAATTTCTTTCACTTTTGTTCCATCATCATTTCTTGGTGCTTCTCAGCAGTATCAGCTACATCACTGCTGCTTCTGTGTTTGCTTCTGGACATCCTGGGCTTAAAATAAAGATATGTCCTACTGTACTCCACACAGTGCACGTGTGTGCATGCTTAGTTGCTCAGTCCTGTCCGATTCTTTGCGATCCACTGGACTGTAGCCCACCAGGCTCCTCTGTCCATGGGATCTTTCAGGCGAGAAAAGAAGTGGGTTGCCATTCCCTTCTCCAGGGGATCTTCCCAACCCATGGATCAAACTTCTGTCTCCTTTGTCTCCTGCATTACAGGTGGATTCCTTACCCACTGAGCTATCAGGGAAGCCCCATGCACCAATGCAACGGCAGACACATGAACTCATTTATGAGGCTGGATATGTGAACACACATTTTTATCTTTCAAAGTTTGAAACTTAAATGCTTTCATGTGGGGGACTTAGTGTATATAATGCACATATGCACACACACATAAATATATACTGTATATAGTGCATATTGTCTGTATACATGAATATATATAATTAGGATCATGTTCAGTCTTAGTGGATATTTGCTGTTTTTCCTGTTTGCTCTGCTGCTGATTCTCCTGCCTTTGTAAGTAAATATTAACGTTTCCTTTGTCAAATCACCTCTGTCTTCTCTCAGTTGGATTTGAATGGGACTGACACAATGTCCTGGTTTCAGAAGTAGGTATTCATCTCACTCATTATGCACCTATTCAGCATATTCTATACTCTGGTCACAATATTGGCTTAGGGTAGACTATTGCAAGTATAAAGTCACCATGAATATAAATCCATAACACATCAGTTCACCTCAAACACCACATCAAGCTATTAAGTATTTCAGACCACTTTTGAGCTTTCATTTTACTTGACTTTTGTGATTTCTATGATATTCAAAAGGGGTATCCTTCGCCAATCCCCTTCTGTTTCCCCTCCCCCATTAGTAGTTGGCTATGACAACCTTTTTATGGCAGACATTCACTACATTCACTGTTAACAGCTCCCCGGATTTCTTCCCCATATTGTTTCCCTAAACTTCCAGTTGTGTTTTCTTTCTTTTTTTCTGGCTAGAAATATTGAGATTTCTACTACTTTTAGGCATTGCTTCACTGGAATTATCTCAGGCACATTTTTCTTCAACTTTTAGCACTACAGCCTCTCAATATGAGAATAACTGCAAAACCCATGTAATATTGAAGTCTGCATTGAGTTCATGTATCTCTTTTTCATTTGACAATTAGTCTTAAGTTTACATTCATTGTATTCCATTTTCAAGATGTCTATGGAAATCTGGTTGTCCAATAAACAACTACATGAATTTATGATGAGACCTCAGCCATTCACTGCAAAATCAATTGGATTCACTAGAAAATGTACCTGTTTGAAAGAAACTGATTGCATAATTTTTTGGCTGCAATTGTATAGAAATGTAACTGGATAATAAAACTTGGTCTTTACAATACTCTCAAATTATGCAGCAAATAAAAACAAGCAGGACATGATAGAAAAATGAAACACAATGAAGTAAATGACATCTGAGCTCACACTGGATGCTGATAAGGTATCTGGGATTTCAATATAGAACAAAGTTTCTATTTCAATATAGAACAAAGGACAGTTTACTGTCCTAATTTCCACTATTGCTTCACAATCACTTTTAATCAAGTATCAGATATGCTAGGTATTTTGTTAAGGAATGGGAAGCAGTGGCATTTCTTATCAGAGATGGAACTTAATCTTTTTTGTTTGTTTGTTAGTTTTCTTCCTTTCTTGACTTGACTGTGTACTGAGTATCATATAAAAACTTAGAGACCTATTGCCTAATTAGTCTACAGGTCTCTCATCTGCTATTTCTATTTAGGAAACTCTGTTTAAGAAATGTAAGAAATCTTTTAGTCAAGGATTTCAGATTCTTCTGATCATGACAGAGGGATTTCTTTTCTCAAGGTGACATGAAAACACTTGGTACACAACAGAGGGAGAGACTAAAGAATCAAGTTAAGGTTCACTGCACAGACAGGCTGCAATAATTTCAGTGCTGCCCTGGAGGGAGAGGGTTGTGGTAGAGAGATGACTTTCTGCTCTTAGACTCTGTCCCTGAATTATATTTCAGGTATGAAAGGTCATCTGGTAGTTTTAGATAGCAAGAAATGCAGAGTAAATAATTTATTTGCTAGAGTATAATTGTTTTTATTTAAGTTAACTTGAAGATCTTATTATTATATCATTCAGAGTAGAGGTGCTGTGTCATAAGTAGGCATAATTAAAACCAATTTATCTGAGACGTGCATTCAGTTGCTAAATTGTGTCCAAACTCTTTGTGACCCCATGGACTGTAGCCTGCCAGCTTCTCTGTTCATGGGATTTCCCAGGCAAGAATATTGGAGTGGGTTGTCATTTCCTTCTCCTTATCTGAGACAGATGAAGATATAAATGAACTACTATTTGTTGAATACATTCTATGCATCAGACAGAATATCATTCTTTATAATTGCTGCCTTCTTAATTTCATTTAACCTGCCCCCAAATAAACTTTGAATTGAAGATATAAGGGAAATTAAGACATCTGTAACACTTGGGAACAGGCACCTGGACAAAGGTAAGTAGAACACAATGGTGGTTAAGTGTAAAAAGTGACATTTGTATAGTCTGAGGCAAATATTTTTAACTTGATCAACTGTAAAATGAGAACAATAATAATAAAATCAATGACCCCTAAAAGTTGTAAAAATTGGGTGAGATCATGCATTTAAGATCTTAGTTCGGTACCTGACATATAGTGACATAGGTGCATGCCTAATGAATGTTATTGACCGCAATGAACACTGTGATGAAAGGCAAACCCACATATACACCCTCTCTTCTGACAATGTCTGTTGCAGTGGCTTACAACTGTTTCTTTCGGAGGAAACTGTTCTTTACTGCCAAGAACTGCCCAAAGTATCCCATTCCATGGGTTGTTTTTGGCTAATTACAGGTTCATGTTGGGAAACCAAGGCTCAAACTTGATCAACTTGGAAAAAAAAAAAATTCTGCAGGATGATCTCTAAACAATAAAGCCCCTCGAAGGATCCACTGAAACTTTACTGGTATTTCACAGCATCTTCTTTCTCAATGCTTTCCCTTGAAAAGTGAAAATCAGTATATTTACCTAATTTACCTCCCAGGATGTCTAGAATATCATATAATGCAATAAAAGTGACCAAACTGTTAGCAGCTACCACAGAAACATAAAACATCATTTTCCCTATTATTACTGTACTAAAGAGAGAGATGTTGACATAAGGTCTAACTTTTTATTAGGATATATCAAGTTAAGTGTGCAACTCTGGTTCAAGACAGTAATTAAAGACCTTGGATGGTTATGCAGCAAAAGCACTGAATACAAATTAACCCACACATTTTTTCTTTGTTGTTTATGATGGGTTAGGTCTATGACCTTGGATAAGTCAAGTAATACATCTGAGTTTCAATTATTTGCCACCTACTTCAGAGACAGATTGTATGATAAAGAGATGATGAGATCGTTAATGAGATAACATTTGTTGAGCCCTTTGAGATTCTTAGATGAAAGATGCCCCATGAAGAAAATACATGATCTTCTGCTATAAAGTTGGGGAAATAAAGCATAATGTGGCTTCTCAGCCAAAACACATAATGGTGACAAATAAAATCAAGGTGTTGTTAATCCCCCAGACCTTTGTTCATATTGAGGGAACACAATTCTTGATGTTTTCTAGAAATTTCAAGGGCAATCTTAACTGAGTCCCTATGTAAGTTACAAGTACCCAAGGATACACTGTAATGATAACAAAGGGTTTCTAGATCATTTTATAATATACATACAAAGTTGGAGTTAAAATCCAATGTGAACAATATTGCAACAGTGCCACAATACAGTATTGTGAAACTCAGTAGTATTGGTTTCTCTCAGAAAGAACCTGCCTAAGTGAGTTTGAAAGCTATAGTGAAAAGTGGGACCCGTGATTTGAATCCAAATACACTAATTCAATCAGGTGGTTGAAATAGGGCCATGGCTTAGAACACATACTATCCTATCACCTGGAGCTATCATGTTTCCTGACATCTGGAGCCATATTTAAGACCTTCATGTATTTAGGGGGATTCAGCCTGGAGGCAACTTAAAAATACCACTTAGTTTCTTATAAAACTAGATCTTCCCATTATAGGCAAGATGAGGACTCTTTCTGATGTATGTTAGCTATATAATTCAAAGGAAATACCAAAATTTCACACAGGAAATTGTATTTGAAAACTGTGATGATGCAAATAGGATCTATTCCCTAACTCCTTCAGCAAATTAAATTTTGTTTCTAGAGAATGTAACACTAGTAAGCCATTACCTTAAGACTTAGCATTACCCTGACTTATTGTAAATCATTCAGTCACATATATATGCATATTAAGATGATATTAACATTGAAATACACTAACAAAAGTAAAGAAATTGAGAAGGCAGTAGGAGTTTGTTTCTAAACACATTTTCTAAGAGCAAAGTACGTGTGTGTACTCTGCACTCAGTGGCTTCCGTCTTGTCCAACTCTGCGATCCCATGGACTATAGCCTGCCAGGCTCCTCTGTCCACGAGAGTCTCCGAGCAAGACTACTGGAGTGCGTTGCTACTTCTTTCTCCAAGGGAGCTTCCTGAGTCAGGCATCGGTCCTACGTCTCCTGCATCTCCTGTACTGTAGGCAAATTCTTTACCCTTAAGCCACCTAGGAAGCCCCACAAAGTATAATGAGACTGCATTAATTCAGTTCTCCTTAGTATATGAGAGAACACAAGATTGTAATATATAGACATCCATTAGATGCCTCTGATGATGGGGATATTTAAAATAATCAACTTGTCTTCACCAGGGCAAGGGGGTGAGGTGTTAGGATAGACCCTGATCTCATTTAGATCCTTGGTGACAGTTTTCAATAAACTCTTTATTTCTGATCTCCCTTTAGCAGTCATTTGAATACTGTTTCATTATTCTCTTAAACTTTTGAAGCGCACAGATTGTTATTTAGATGAGATACATGTAAGCTACTATAGTAAAATGACCATCAAATACAGTGGATTAATGTAAGAAAGGTTTATTTTTCTCTCACATAATTTACAGAAGTGAATAACTCAGGGCTCATAAACACCTATCCTCAGCACATGGATTTCAAGGTTGCTTCAATTATTGTGACCTCCAAAACAGTAGGAAAGATGAAAGAATGAAACTGACCTTGAAATAGGGACTCATCACTTACATTAAATCCTTTGGGGTGTACATAGTCACAAAGCAAAAGATGTTGGAATATGCAGTCTCATCATGCAACCATTTAAAATTTGTGATCCATTTGCACTAGTACAAGGAAAGAATCAAATCTAATTGGTTGTTACTTGGATATAGGGAAAGTTCAAATTATAGCTAAAGAAAATAATAATGTGGGCATAAAAGTGATGTTAATCCAATGTTTTATGCTTCTCTTTCTGTTCCTATTTTTTTCCTTTCTTCTAATAATCTTTTGACCAAAATGATTATTTTTTCATTAACACCTGCTGTACTTGGCTTCTCTAATAACAGTGCTTCTTGGTTCTCATCTGACCTCACTGACCAACCTGTCTCAGACTCTTTGTTGGTTTCTCCTCATTTCCCCAACCTGTAAAGATTAACATGTCCCTCCTCTCCAACTTTTTCCTTTTAAAAATGTACACTTAGGCTCCTCCGGTGGCTCAGTGATAGGGAACCCGCCTACCAACGCAGGGGATATGGGTTCAATCCCTGGTCCAGGAAGATCCCGCATGTCTTGGAGCAACTAAGCCTGTGCACCACAAGTACTGAGTCTGAGTTTTAGAGCCTGTGACCCGCAACTATTGGGCCCACATGACAAACTACTGGTGCCCGCGCACCCAGAGCGCATGCTGGGCAGCAAGAGAAACCACTGCAAGGAGAAGCCCACACACCACAACTAGAGAAAAGCCCTACTCGTCACAAGAGAAAGCCCGTGTGCAGCAAAGAAGACCCAGCGCAGTCATAGATAAATGAATAAAAGTAAATTAATCTTTAAAAAATATAAATAAGTTTAGTTGGTCCTTAGGTGATATTAAGCTCATAGATAACATAATGCCTCCAGGTCTACGAGCAGCTAACATTAAATAGACTCTAACTCGGGCCACTCCTCTGCACACAAGATATCCTAGTACCTATTTAACATCCTTATTTGGATGTCAGAGAGGCATAACACAATTAAAATATCTAAAACTGAACTTATGAGGTTTCCATACTCCAAAACTGCAACTCTTACTGGCTTCCACATCACAGTGCCACATCACCTCTATCCTTCAGCAGAAAAAAAAAAATGCCGTCACAACTCTCCCTTCCTCTCACATATGTCCTTACATATTTGCCACTGAACTCTGCCACCTTTTCCTTCCATTCTCAGTTCAACAGGTTCAGATGACCTCATTAAAACCACTTCAATCCAAGTCACTTTCATTTCTCACACTTGCTTATTTTATTCCCTAGTTCTCTTCATGCACTCCTTATTTCCAAATTCAGGCTTAAATTAAAGTAGGGAGAAACACTAGACTATTCAGGTATGACCTAAATCAAATCCCTTATAATTATACAGTGGAACTGACAAATAGATTTAAGGGATTAGATCTGAGAAACTGCCTGAAGAACTATGGATGGAGGTTCCTAACAGTGTACAAGAAGGAGTGATCGAAAAGATTCCCAAGAAGAAGAAATGCAAGAAAGCCAAATGGTCATCTGAGGAGGCCTTACAAATAGCTGTGGAAAGAAGAGAAATGAAAGGCAATGGAGAAAAGAAAAGACACCCCCATCTGAATGCAGAGTTCCAAAGAATAGCAAGGAGAGATAAAAAAGTCTTCCTCAGTGATCAATGTAAAGAAATAGGGGAAAACAACAGAATGGGAAAGATTAGAGATCTCTTCAAGAAAATTAGAGATACCAAGGGAACATTTCATGCAAAGATGGGTTCGATAAAGGACAGAAATGGTATGGACCTAACAGAAGCAAAAGATATTAAGAAGAGGTGGCAAGAANTATTTAACATTTATGCAGAGTACATCATGCGAAATGCTGGGCTGGATGAGGCACAAGCTGGAATCAAGACTGCTGGGAGAAGTATCAATAATCTCAGATATGCAGATGACACCACCCATTTAGTAGAAAGTAAAGAGGAACCAAAGAACCTCTTGATGAAACTGAAAGAGGAGAGTGAAAAAGTTGGCTTAAAACTCAAAACTGAAAAAACTAAGATCATGGCAACTGGTCCCATCACCTCATGGCAATAGATGGGGAAATACTGGAAACAGTGAGAGACTTTATCTTTTTGGTCTCCAAAATCACTGCAGAAGGTGACTGCAGCCATGAAATTCAAAGATGCTTGCTACTTGGAAGAAAAGCTACGACATACTTAGACAGCATATTAAAAAGAAGAGACATTACTTTGCTGAGAAAGGTGCATATAGTCAAAGCTATGGTTTTTCCAATAGTCATGTATGGATGTGGGAGATGGACCATAGGAAGGCTGAGCCCTGAAGAATTGATGGTTTTGAACTGTGGTGTTGGAGAAGACTCTTGAGAGTCCCTTGGAATACAAGGAGATCAAACTAGTCAATCCTAAAAGAAATCAGTTTGGAATATTCATTGGAAGGACTAATGCTGAAGCTGAAGCTCTAATATTTTGACCACTTGATGCAAAGAGCCAACCTATTGGAAAAGACCCTGATGCTGGGAAAGATTGAAGGCAATAGGAGAAGGGGATGACAGAGGATGAGATGATTGGATGGCATCACCGACTCTATGGACACGAGTTTGAGCAAGCTCCAGGAGTTGGTGATGGACAGGGAAACCTGGCGTGCTACAGTCCATGGGGTTCCAAAGTTGGACACAACTGAGTGATCTGAACTGAATTCTCTTTATAACACCTACAGTCTTTTCTCAACACAGAAGCTAAAGTGATTCTTTTAAAGTTAATTAATATTACACATTCTGCTGATGAGAACCCTCTGATCAGTTTAAGCCTCACTCAAAACAAGA